ATATTTGAGAATAAGGATACCAATCACCGCCTGAGGCACGTCAATCTCATTAACATCCCCTTTAACGTGAGTGACAGCTTGACAGCGCTCCGTCAAGTGACGGGTTAAATGCGTTTAGACAAAAACATATATTGTCCTATTAAACCAGCATTGTGCTCCCAATATAACAATTTGTCCCACGATTTTTCTTCATTTCCCATCTTACTTCTGTCCAAGAATTCATTCCAGTCAACATATGAGTGACTATAGTCTTATATAGTCGTTGGCAGCAGGTTTAAGATCAATATTTAAGGTTTAAGATCAATATATAAGGTTTAAGATCAATATATAAGGTTTAAGATCAATATATAATAGATTTGGCACTATTACCCAGTGTTGATATAATTTTGGGGGACCTATGAATGTTCCTCTTCATCTACCATTGTTATGCTAAGTTGTGCAAGGGGATGATGATTCGTAGTAGTTACAGAAAGACTTTAATTGAGTCGAATATTCGATCCATTTACTCGGTACTCTTGGGAGTTCTCTGATAATCACTCAGTTTGTCTAATTCATCTTATAGTTTCAGGCTGTTAGGCTGTTTTAATCACTCTCAAGATCATTACCAGAAACTATCGTTAGTATTAATGATGAGTATCATTAACCATCATTATCTGTCTGTCTCTCTCTCTCTCTCTCTTTTTCTCTTTTTTTCTCTGTCTGTCTGTCTGTCTGTCTGTCTGTCTGTCTGTCTGTCTGTCTGTCTGTCTGTCTGTCTGTCTGTCTGTCTCTCTCTCTCTCTTTCTCTTTTTCTCTCTCTTTTTTCTCTCTCTCTCTCTCTTTCTCTCTCTCTCTCTCTCTGTCTCTCTCTCTCTCTCTCTCTCTCTCTCTCTCTCTCTCTCTCTCTCTCTCTCTCTCTCTCTCTCTCTCTCTCTCTCTCTTTCTCTTTTTTTTTCTCTCTCTCTCTCTTTCTCTTTTTTTTTCTCTCTCTCTCTCTCTCTCTCTCTCTCTCTCTCTCTCTCTCTCTCTCTCTCTCTCTCTCTCTCTCTCTCTCTCTCTCTCTCTCTCTCTTTATATACATCTATATCTATACAGAGTTCCACGACGCCATCATGAGCTTGAGCAAGAGTCAACAAAATAAGAACCACTCGCCCTTCAGTCTCTGAAGATAATTCCGCTTCTCCAACATTCAATTGGGAAACTTTTCCCCTTGTCAAAAAAAACTTTCTAGTTCGCCGTCTCAAAACTTCTCTCTGGATATTTATTTCGTCCTGTTTTGCTTGGCTATTTCTGGAACCTGATTCCATAGGTGAGGTTCGTGTTATAAGGCGCTTGTAAATTTGTTCGTATACTTTATACACCTTTTCCTGATTCTCTTTTTCCAGTTTGGATTTTTTTTGCTCTCTATTTAAAGCTTTATATTTTTTCTCTCCTTATTTTCAGTTATTCTTTCTTAGCTTCTATCTTATATCCTCTTCTTTTTCTTTTAATTTGTCCTTCCTTCCCTTGTACTTATACTTTTCTTCAATTATTCCGTTTTCTTTCCATTTATGCTTTCTCCTCTTTCTCTTATAATTTTCCCCTTTCCCTTATACTTTCTCCCATTTCCCTTATTCCCCTACTTTCCTTATCCCCCCCCTTTGCCTCATAAGACGAGGGTACTCACCTAATTGTGCTCGAATACGCTTCAGAATATGCATAAGTATATGATCTTGCCTATATGTGCCTGCGGATTAGGCGTTAGCTCTTGGACCCCGCCTCCTTATTTTGGGGTATCTGCTGTTATCGTGACACGGTAATGTTTACTAGTACTAGTTTAAACAGTTACTTCATGCAGGTCGGTGTTCAATCCCCCGTGACCGTTCACAAGTGGTTGGGGAACCATTCCTTCCCTGCGTCCCATCCTAAATCCTTATCCTGACCCATTCCCAGTGGTATATAGTCGTAATGGCTTGGCGCTTTCTCCTCATAACTCACTCTTTCCAAACCGTTCTCGCATACAAACATCCAAGCTCGTTAATTCAGCTGCCAAACCCCCTTGTTTATGAGTGAAAAACGGTTTATACACGACTCACAACTGCTGACGTTCGAACACTTCCGGAACAAGTGCTTCACTGACGACTTGTGTTCGAACCACAACGCTGTAAATGCTTCACCCACGTACTACAAATACAAATAATCGCCAACAGAACCTAAACACCTAACCTAACCTAACCTAACCTAACCTAACCTAACCTAATCTAACCTAACCTAGCCTAACCTAACCTAACCTAACCTAATCTAACCTAACCTAACCTAATCTAACCTAACCTAACCTAGCCTAACCTAACCTAACCTAATCTAACCTAACCTAACCTAGCCTAACCTAGCCTAACCTAACCTAATCTAATCTAATCTAACCTTATCTAACCTAACCTAACCTAAACACCTAACCTAACCTAACCTAACCTATGCCTATATATGCACAATATGCTAATATAATATTAATTTATATTAGAGAAAATTCCCGGTTTGAATGAACAGCATGTTAAAATTGATGAATGCGTCTGTAGGGGTCGACCACTGGATGGAATGGACTTCCATCCAGGACCGACTCATCGCCTGGAATGGACTTGAGTCGAGGACGGGTTGCGCGCTCTAGTCAACTGCTGTTGTTGTTGTTATAGATTCAGCTACTCGGAATAAGTTCCAAGTAGCACGGGCTATGGTGAGCCCGTAACTTACCTGGCACAGGAGCGGTGCTGAATGACTAGTCAACTGCACCTTATCTTGAGGTTATCTTGAGATGATTTCGGGGCTTTTTTTTAGTGTCCCCGCGGCTCGGTCCTCGACCAGGCCTCCACCTTGGGGGAAGCAGCCCGTGACAGCTGACTAACACCCAGGTACCTATTTTACTGCTAGGTAACAGGGGCATAGGGTGAAAGAAACTCTGCCCATTGTTTCTCGCCGGCGCCTGGGATCGAACCCAGGACCACAGGATCACAAGTCCAGCGTGCTGTCCGCTCGGCCGACCGGCTCCCTTTGAGTTAAAAGAATGCCCATATTCATTCTCCTATCCCTCTGGTTATTAATTAAACGAGTTTTGAATCCGTTTTCTGTTGATCAGGTTGATAATTTGCAACAATCCTCCTTATCGGATCCACTAGTCCTCATTCTCCTCTTATGAGTGTCCACCTCATGCATTCCCCACTACTCATACCCCTCACTACAACCTCGGTATTACGACCTTACGTATACAGCGCAGGTGAGAAGGATGACAAACATCGTACACCTGGCAGTGGTGTCGTGTCACTCCCCCTCTGAACCTCCACTGTTGCCACGTGTTCCATTTGATGTCAACTCAAGTCATCTTATCTCACTAATTAATGATCTCAGCTCATCTTGCGCCTGATTAATTAATACTGCGATTCGTTATCATCCTCCAATAATACTCATACTAACGACAGCATCATTCTCATGCTGAGTCGTTATGGGTTGTAAATGTAAAATGATGATATTGGCAGATTTGCATGACTCCCCCCCTACCCTCCCCCCCTCTCGTACACACACACACACACCTGCAAAAGCCACGTGTTAGAGCAGGTGTGTGAGTGTGTTTTGTTGTTATCAATGATTATCCCAGTGTCAGGCAACCCTGGTTTATCAATTGTGATGATTCTGGTTCATGCTTGCTTGTTCCACGACGTCTATTGTGTTCCACGACGTCTATTGTGTTTCACGACGTCTATTGTGTTCCACGACGTCTATTGTGTTTCACGACGTCTATTGTGTTCCACGACGTCTATTGTGTTCCACAACCTCTAATGTGTTCCACAATCTCTAATGTGTTCCACAACCTCTAATGTGTTCCACAATCTCTAATGTGTTCCACAACCTCTAATGTGTTCCACGACCTCTAATGTGTTCCACAATCTCTAATGTGTTCCACAACCTCTATTGTGTTCCACGACCTCTAATGTGTTCCACAACCTCTATTGTGTTCCACAACCTCTATTGTGTTCCACGACCTCTAATGTGTTCCACGACCTCTAATGTGTTCCACGACCTCTAATGTGTTCCACAATCTCTAATGTGTTCCACAACCTCTATTGTGTTCCACAACCTCTATTGTGTTCCACAACCTCTAATGTGTTCCACAACCTCTAATGTGTTCCACGACCTCTAATGTGTTCCACGACCTCTAATGTGTTCCACAACCTCTAATGTGTTCCACAACCTCTAATGTGTTCCACAACCTCTAATGTGTTCCACGACGTCTATGAATGAGTTTGTATAGCTATAAATAGAAACTATCACATATAGCTCCAAAGACCTTCTGCAGATTCCTTAATGTATACATTCTTACGTTCTCTGCCCAACCACTTTAGACTGGACAGTATAGAGCGTGACGGTCTCACTTCATGCAGGTCGGTGTTCAATCCCCGACTGTCCACAAGTGCCACCATTCCTTCCCACCGTCCCATCCCAAAATCCTTATATCCTGACTCCCTTCCCAGTGCTATATAGTCGTAATGGCTTGGCGCTTTCCCCCTGATAATTCCGTTCCCTTCCCTTCGTTGAACACGTTCAAATGAACGTTCTATAGTATAGGGACCAAAACTGAACTACGTTTGATATTAAATCTTAACACGAAACTGCTATATTAATGAACAAATCCACAAGGGGCCGTGCCGTGGGATCGAACTTACGTCCTAGAGGTGTTTGTTATATCAGTGATTCTAACTAAATTAACTTCCTTGGGAAGACGTCGAGGAATGAATGGATCGTTTTTGCATTTTTAATACAGAATATTCATACTAGAATTAGTGAAAATACCTTTCTTATATCAGACAACAATAGAGGTCTTTATGTATATACATATGTGTATTAATGCGTGGATATATATACATATATATCTTCCCACGTCAGCATTATGTAAGTATACACACACACCCCCCTCACCCCCTCCCCACCCCCCCCCCTCCAGCCTACACCTGCCGCTACAGGTGTTGGGTAGATGTATTCTCACCCCCTACACACATCTGTCTGCACCAGTTCTCAGTTGCACGGTGCCTCAACCTGTGTAGTGAACTACGAATCCTTTCTCTCGCTCACTCACTCACTCACTCACTCACTCACTCACTCACTCACTCACTCACTCACACATACACTCTTTCGCTCATTCTCACACACGACGAATTGGCTCAAGTTTAATATATTCGAGTTTGGCTTCTTAATTTGGTGAGTATTGGGAGCGTGAGAAGTGTGTGTGTGTGTGTGTGTGTACCACTGTTGTGTGCAACTTAGACATGTCTGTGTGACATGTGTGTGTGTGTGTGTGTGAACGTACAAATCTATGAACTATCATACGACCTAATCCACTTTTTGCAACCTAGACATTCTAAGGGACATTACAAAATCTAAAACATCATAGACCTAACCTAACCTTCTTCACGTTTACAGAACAAACCTAAACCTACCATATGTAATGTTTGTCCTGATTTAGCACATAATATGTACCATACTAGACCTTTCATGATATATGAAAAATAATGCAATTTAATCGAGAAATAACAATCTCTGTCTGTCTCTCTGTCTCCCTCTGTCAATCAGAGGCATCATGGCAGTCACCTCTACAGTGCTGACAGTTGGGCTCTTGACGCTGACAGTGCTGGTGCTGACTTTCAACAACAGGAGCTTGAGGAAGACCTTGCTACATGAAAAGGAAGATATGGTGCTGGGCCTTAAGGAAAGGTTAGTGCTTGCCTAGGAGGTTATCTTGAGGTTATCTTGAGATCTTGAGGTTATCTTGAGATGATTTCGGGCCTTTAGTGTCCCCGCGGCCCGGTCCTCGACCAGGCCTCCACCCCCAGGATGCAGCCCGTGACAGCTGACTAACACCCAGGTACCTATTTTACTGCTAGGTAACAGGGGCATAGGGTGGTTATCTTGAGATGATTTCGGGGCTTTAGTGTCCCCGCGGCCCGGTCCTCGACCAGGCTTCCACCCCCAGGAAGCAGCCCGTGACAGCTGACTAACACCCAGGTACCTATTTTACTGCTAGGTAACAGGGGCATAGGGTGGTTATCTTGAGATGATTTCGGGGCTTTAGTGTCCCCGCGGCCCGGTCCTCGACCAGGACTCCACCCCCAGGAAGCAGCCCGTGACAGCTGACTAACACCCAGGTACCTATTTTACTGTTAGGTAACAGGGGCATAGGGTGAAACTCTGCCCATTGTTTCTCGCCGGCGCCTGGGATCGAACCCAGGACCACAGGATCAGAAGTCCAGTGTGCTGTCCGCTCAGCCACCCAGCTCCCTTGGTAGTTAGGCCTCGCGTCACCTTGTCTGGTAATTAATTAGTAAATCACCCTGTCCTCACACTTAATACACAACAACGCGATGCTATCAAACCTTTAAACGTCAAAATTGCAATTTTTTTTTGCAAAAACTTAAAACACCGTCATACTATAGCGCGTCACCGAGAATACTTACCTACGGGCTCGCCATAGCCCGTGCTACCTGGAACTTTTTGATCCAAATAGCGAATCTTAATCAACAACAGAATACTTACCAACTGCTTTGTTAATTTAGGTTCCTTTAATGGTGGGCATTTTTTTTTTTTTTTTTTTTTTTTAAGTCGATTGGTGTAATTTTAGAATATATGGATTGGTGATTGATTGGTGACATCTCTTCTATAACGAAGCGTCTATAACTCTACGAATCCTCCTCCTGTACGAATCCACGAATCCTCCTCCTAATCATAGTTTTAGTAGATAATATGTTATATAAGCTGAAATAGATTTCTAATCCGTTTTCTTGGGTTTAATAACATCCTGTAGGGATTGGTAGCTAGTGATTCCGGTATATAGTTTGACAAGCCGTGATTGGCCACGTTGGGACAAATGGGGAAGGGACATACAATCCCAGTGTCCCTGATTTAGATAAGAACCCAAAATAGCGCACTGAACAACTGGGCACTGCGCTTTCTGCATTCAGGGTCACGGGGATACTGCGCAATTTGGGACCCGTCACATAGGGTACAGCGCAATTTGGGGCCCGTCACATAGGGTACAGCGCAATTTGGGACCCGTCACATAGGGTACAGCGCAATTTGGGACCCGTCACATAGGGTACAGCGCAATTTGGGGTCACATAGGGTACAGTTTGGGGCCCGTCACATGGGGGGTACTGCGCAATTTGGGGCCCGTCACATAGGGTACAGCGCAATTTGGGACCCGTCACATAGGGTACAGCGCAATTTGGGGCCCGTCACATAGGGTACTGCGCAATTTGGGGCCCGTCACATGGGGTACTGCGCAATTTGGGACCCGTCACATGGGGTCCTGCGCAATTTGGGACTCGTCACATAGGGTACTGCGCAATTTGGGACCCGTCACATGAGGTCCTGCGCAATTTGGGACCCGTCACATGGGGTCCTGCGCAAGTTGGGACCCGTCACATGGGGTCCTGCGCAATTTGGGACCCGTCACATGGGGTCCTGCGCAATTTGGGACCCGTCACATGGGGTCCTGCGCAATTTGGGACCCGTCACATGGGGTCCTGCGCAATTTGGGACCCGTCACATAGGGTACTGCGCAATTTGGGACCCGTCACATAGGGTACTGCGCAATTTGGGACCCGTCACATAGGGTACTGCGCAATTTGGGACCCGTCACATGGGGTCCTGCGCAATTTGGGACCCGTCACATAGGGTCCTGCGCAATTTGGGTTATTTAGCTCTTGGGTTCTCTTGGGTATCAGGATATTATTCCATTATAATTATTCCTATATATACCTTGAGGTTACCTTGAGGTGCTTCCGGGGCTTAGTGTCCCCGCGGCCCGGTCCTCGACCAGGCCTCCTGTAGAGATTGTCACAATAACCTAGACGAACACATAACCATAAATAAATATGAAATGAGTGATAAACTTGCAATTAATGGGATCCAAGACGATCTAACGATCATTGTAGTTTCACACACTTGTTTGTAAATGCTTGAATTGCCAACAGAGATACGAAAATAGACGACTGTCAGGCGCAACTCCAGAAGGAGAAGACTTCTCGTAGTGACTTTGAACAACGGGCCTTGAAGGTGGGTATTGGTGGTGAGTGTGTGTGGTGGTGAGTGTGTGTGGTGGTGGTGAGTATTGGTGGTGAGTGTGTGTGGTGGTGAGTGTGTGTGGTGGTGGTGAGTATTGGTGGTGAGTGTGGTGGAGGTGAGTGTGTGTGGTGGTGGTGAGTGTGTGTGTGGTGGTGAGTATTGGTGGTGAGTGTGGTGGAGGTGAGTGTGTGTGGTGGTGGTGAGTATTGGTGGTGAGTGTGGTGGTGGTGAGTGTGTGTGGTGGTGGTGAGTATTGGTGGTGAGTGTGTGTGGTGGTGAGTGTGTGTGGTGGTGGTGAGTATTGGTGGTGAGTGTGTGTGGTGGTGAGTGTGTGTGGTGGTGAGTGTGTGTGGTGGTGGTGAGTATTGGTGGTGAGTGTGGTGGAGGTGAGTGTGTGTGGTGGTGGTGAGTATTGGTGGTGAGTGTGTGTGGTGGTGAGTGTGTGTGGTGGTGAGTATTGGTGGTGGTGAGTGTGTGTGGTGGTGGTGAGTATTGGTGGTGAGTGTGTGTGTGTGGTGGTGGTGAGTATTGGTGGTGAGTGTGGTGGAGGTGAGTGTGTGTGGTGGTGGTGAGTGTGTGTGGTGGTGGTGAGTATTGGTGGTGAGTGTGTGTGGTGGTGAGTGTGTGTGGTGGTGGTGAGTGTGTGTGGTGGTGGTGAGTGTGTGTGGTGGTGGTGAGTATTGGTGGTGAGTGTGGTGGAGGTGAGTGTGTGTGGTGGAGGTGAGTATTGGTGGTGAGTGTGTGTGTGGAGGTGAGTACTGGTAACTTGTGAGGACGGTGAGTATTTGTACCGTGTCCTCAAGGTGAGTACTCATAGTATGTGCTCAAAAAATGAGTATTTCTAGGGTAATTTTGTTTTCCATAGCGGAAAAGTATGTTCTATGAAAAGTAAAAAGTATGAAAAGTATGTAGGAAGGTAGTGGTGCTTCACTTAGCTCCGTCTCATCTCTTCCTCTTCCATCTTTGGCTCTTCTTTCACCTTTTCCAAATATTCTTTCATCTCCCATTTTATTCCTTCCGCTCATTCATCAAAACGTTAGCATACGCATTCAAAAACTGCCATTGCAACGTTGCAACAAGACCATTCACATGACAACATCCATCTAACCACAAATATCACATCATTAATGCAAAAGCTCAAACGCCAAGGCCCGTCGGATACTTATCAACTAGGGAGGCAAGTCATGTAGGAATACTAGGAAACGACATTGAAGACAGAGCTTCAAAACTTGCCGCTACGAGAAGGTTAAATTACCTATCATATTATAAACAACGAAAGCCTGGCCGCCATAGCCAGGCTTGTCCGCCATGACTTGCCTCAACTAGGGAGGCAAGTCATGTAGGAATACTAGGAAACGACATTGAAGACGGAGCTTCAAAACTTGCCACTACGAGAAAGTTAAATTACCTATCATATTATAAACAACGAAAGCCTGGCCGCCATAGCCAGGCTTGTCCGCCATGACTTGCCTCAACTAGGGAGGCAAGTCATGTAGGAATACTAGGAAACGACATTGAAGACGGAGCTTCAAAACTTGTCACTACGAGAAAGTTAAATTACCTATCAAATTATAAACAACGAAAGCCTGGCCGCCATAGCCAGGTTTGTCCGCCATGACTTGCCTCAACTAGGGAGGCAAGTCATGTAGGAATACTAGGAAACGACATTGAAGACGGAACTTCAAAACTTGCCACTACGAGAAAGTTAAATTACCTATCAAATTATAAACAACGAAAGCCTGGCCCCCAGGCCAAGCTAGGAGAGAAGTTGAACTCTGGAAACCTACTACAAGTAAACCTTTTCCCTGAATATTTTCCCGTCACAACTTTATTCAACACATCCCTCACTCCTCATTCTCTCCCCTGCAGGTAGATCAAGAGAAGGTGGCGCTACAAACGGAGGTTGACAAACAGAAGGCTGAGGTGGCCACGCTGCAGAAAACAGCAGCGGAAGCAGAGGTAAGCAAAGCGCAGTTGTCGCTACTTGATATAGAGCTCCTTGCACAGGTGTTCCTTTTCTCTACCTGTTCAACCCGTTCTCGCACTTGCTTACAGTCAATATTGGCTTATTGGCGTGGGGAGGACGAGGGGACAAGGGAGGGAGTAATGGTGCGGGAAGGACGAGGGGACGGGGGAGTTTGGGATGGTGGGGGACAAGGTTGGTTACCTGGTTGATGGGGTTGGGGTTCTGGGAGTTCTTCTACTCCCCAAGCCCGGCCCGATAGGGGATAGGGGAATGGGGAATGATGGGGAGAACAAAAGGACAGGGGAGTGGGGAATGGTGGGGAGGACTGCGGGAAACAGGGAAGGTTGCTAAGCCACAGCAACGCGTGGCCGGGTACTGCTAAATAATAAAAATAATAATAATAAGTCTCCCCTCTACAGGAGAAAAAGAAAGCCGCCGAAACCCTCACCAAAGAAAACGGGGACCTCAAGAAACAGCTCGACGAGGCCTTGAAGCGCGCTACAGAGGCTGACAAGGCCAAGGCTGACCTTCAGGCCAAGTTGACGGAGGCGGAGACTAAGCAGAAGGAAGCAGAGACAGCAGCAGCCGCAGCCAAGGAGGAAGCAGCCAAAGCCAAGAACTAGATTTAATAAGAATTTTAGACATAACATCATCAGATCAAAGAGAAGGAGTAGGACTAAAATCACCCAGAAGCAATGCCTGCACCTGAACCTAATCCAATTTATCCTAACCTAATCCAATCTATCCTAGCCTAATCCAATCTCTCCTAATCTAATCCAATCTCTCCTAATCTAATCCAATCTATCGTAACCTAATCCAATCTATCCTAGCCTAATACAATCTCTCCTAATCTAATCTAATCCAATCTATCCTAATCTAATTCAATCTATCATAACCTAATTCAATCAATCCTAACCTAATCCAATATACGCTAATCTAATCCAATCTATCCTAACCTAAACCAATCTATCCTAACCTAATCCAATCTATCCTAGCCTAATCCAATCTATCCTAACCTAATATTACACAAACTTGCCTAATCTAACCAAGCTCAATCTAGACTAACTTTATCCAGCATAATTCTAAACCAATCTTGCCTAACCTAACCCAATCTACATCTACCTTTCCAAATCCATTTTAACCAAGCCAAGTCCAATCTAACTTAGCCTAATCTAACATAACCTAACCAACTTTATCCTAGCCTAACCTAACCTAATCCATGGCTATTTACAGTTTCATCAATAAAGTAGCTTGTATAGGATTTGCTTGCATCCCAAGTGGATGTCTCCAACTTCCTTGTAAGATGTTTGGGGAGCACGTGAATGATAATATATTGAACACTTTTGAGTTCAAAATAACTATATTAAGAAACACGTTTGTTGTTTTTGAATACTTTTGTATTTGTCCTCAATTTTTGTAATTATATTATGCTTCGATTTGTATTTTAATAACACTGTTGATATGTACAAATCTGCACTTTTGATTAACTTAATCAAAGCAAACCAAATAAAAATTATTCTAAGTAAATATACCTAACTAGACCTAATCTAAACTAGCCTAGCCTAACCTAACCTATTATTCAAGGTTAGAATATGTATATATATATATATATATATATTAGTATATTTTGGTAGCAGTCTTTCCTGTAGACATATTTTATTAAATATGACCGAAAAAGTAAGATTAATAATTCTAACACGAATTTTCTCAATCTTTCGTACATTATGCTTCACTGTTGGAGGTAAATCAAAAATCACTTCTCCAAAATTCATTTTTATTTCTAGTCTGACGCGACACGGGCGCGTTTCGTAAAACTTATTACATTTTCAAAGACTTCACAAATACACAACTGATTAGAACTTGCGTTTCCCTGATTTTATATCTACATTTGAGTGAGGTGGGAAGGGTGATGTGGCATTACATTTGAGTAAGGTGGGAAGGATGATGTGGCATTAGAGGATATTAATAGGGTATTAAAAGTATCAACACAAGACAGAACACGAAACAATGGATATTGAATAGAAGTGTTTGTAGAAAGCCTATTGGTCCATATTTCTTGATGCTTCTATATTGGAGCGGAGTCTTGAGGTGGGTAGAATATTGTTGTGCAATAATTGGCTGTTGATTGCTGGTGTTGACTTCTTGATGTGTAGTGCCTCGCAAACGTCGAGCCGCCTGCTATCGCTGTATCTATCGATGATTTCTGTGTTGTTTACTAGGATTTCTCTGGCGATGGTTTGGTTATGGGAAGAGATTATATGTTCCTTAATGGAGCCCTGTTGTTTATGCATCGTTAAACGCCTAGAAAGAGATGTTGTTGTCTTGCCTATATACTGGGTTTTTTGGAGCTTACAGTCCCCAAGTGGGCATTTGAAGGCATAGACGACGTTAGTCTCTTTTAAAGCGTTCTGTTTCGTGTCTGGAGAGTTTCTCATGAGTAGGCTGGCCGTTTTTCTGGTTTTATAGTAAATCGTCAGTTGTATCCTCTGATTTTTGTCTGTAGGGATAACGTTTCTATTAACAATATCTTTCAGGACCCTTTCCTCTGTTTTATGAGCTGTGGAAAAGAAGTTCCTGTAAAATAGTCTAATAGGGGGTATAGGTGTTGTGTTAGTTGTCTCTTCGGAGGTTGCATGGCTTTTCACTTTCCTTCTTATGATGTCTTCGATGAAACCATTGGAGAAGCCGTTATTGACTAGAACCTGCCTTACCCTACAGAGTTCTTCGTCGACTTGCTTCCATTCTGAGCTGTGGCTGAGAGCACGGTCGACGTATGCGTTAACAACACTCCTCTTGTACCTGTCAGGGCAGTCGCTGTTGGCATTTAGGCACATTCCTATGTTTGTTTCCTTTGTGTAGACTGCAGTGTGGAAACCTCCGCCCTTTTCCATGACTGTTACATCTAGAAAAGGCAGCTTCCCATCCTTTTCCGTCTCGTAAGTGAAACGCAGCACGGAACTCTGCTCAAATGCCTCCTTCAGCTCTTGCAGATGTCTGACATCAGGTACCTGTGTAAAAATGTCGTCAACATACCTGCAGTATATGGCCGGTTTCAAGTTCATGTCGACTAAGACTTTTTGCTCGATGGTACCCATGTAGAAGTTTGCAAACAGGACACCTAGGGGAGAACCCATAGCGACCCCATCTACTTGCTTATACATGTGCCCATCCGGGCTCAAGAAGGGTGCCTCTTTAGTACAAGCTTGGAGTAGTTTCCTCAGAATACTTTCTGGCATGTCAAGAGGAGTACAGGCTGGATCACGATACACTCTGTCGGCTATCATTCCGATTGTCTCGTCCACAGGTACGTTTGTAAACAGCGATTCTACGTCCAACGAGGCTCTTATCCCTGTGGCCCGTGCGCCCCGCAGTAAGTCCACAAATTCCTTTGGAGACTTCAGGCTGAAGGCGCAAGGAACATAAGGAGTCAGCAGGCCGTTGAGTCGCTTCGCCAATCTGTACGTGGGTGTGGGTATCTGGCTATGATTGGCCGAAGTGGGTTTCCAGGCTTGTGCGTCTTGACATTCCATACGCATATCCAGGTTTATATTCCCCAATGATCTTTGGCAGATATATATATATATATATATATATATATTCGTCTTTTTTATAAAGTGGTACCACCTCTGGTGCAATTGTAGGGACCCATAGCCTCGGAGAAGAGAATACAGAGCTTTCTGAGAAAAACTTGCCATTAATCTTTAAGAGTGTTCACTTCTATACACTTATGTTCACTTCTTATACTTATATGATGGTAGCCTCGGCTACCATCATCTTTTGTCCGGTCGTGATGGTCGAGTGGTTAAGGTGTCCTGTACATCAGTTGCAGAGTGCTCATGGCAGTATGGATTCGAGTCACTTCTGGGGTGTGAATTTTCAGTTACACTTATATGTAAATATATTGTGATAATATGTGCGTTATACTTACTAATATGTTGTAGAGAGACAGGCTGATTATAATGTTATCCATCGGGTTGAATAAGATACCTATTTACACTCAATTTTGTTTACACACAAGTTTGTTTACTCACAGCGTTCGGCTACAAAAGCTCTGTCAAGTCGGATTTGACGAGGATTTTGTAGCCAAACGCTTGTAAACAAGGGGCCAGATTCACGAAAGCACTTACGAACGTGTACATCTTTCGTCAATCTTTGACGGCTTTGGTTACATTTATTAAACAGTTTACAAGCATGAAAACTTGCCAATTAACTGTTGTTATTGTTATAAACAGCCTCCTGGTGCTTCGGAGCTCATTAACTGTTTAATAATTGTAAACAAAGCCGCCAAAGATTGAGAAAAGATGGACAGGTTCGTAAGTGTCTTCGTGAATCTGCATGAAAACTTGCCAAGATCTCCTGGTGCTTCGGAGCTCATTAACTGTTTAATAATTGTAAACAGTAGAAAAGATGGACAGGTTCGTAAGTGTCTTCGTGAATCTGGCCCAAGATCTATAACCAGTATGATGTTTGTTTTTTCTGTCCACAAAATATTTTTTTGTTACCAATGTATTTGTTGATGACAAATAAAGAATATTCCATTAATGTAAGATATATTGTTCTTACAAATGCCATTTCTAGCTAAGAGTTAGTATATATTATGAAAAAAGGCATTAATTCACAGAGTTTCGGGCAAGAATCTACATATTTGTAAACGACTGGATGATGTTTGGCTTCAGACCTAAGAACCTTTCGATTGGTGGTGAAATTGAAGCCTATTAGCCTTTAGATTCTATTGGGTCTAAGGCCTATCAATCTCTGGTTTGATTGGCTTAAATCTTATCAACTTCTAGTGTGGTGTTGGACTAAAAGCCTATCAACTTCACGAGATATACACACTACCAAAATAGCCTACTGACCAAGCATCAAATTTAGTCATGAACATGATCCAAACTCTACAGTGACTCATAAGTGATGGGGAAAACCAGTCCAGTCACCATCCTGTCATAGTCACCATCAATATACCTCACTGACAAGTTGGTGCTGCCAGTGACAACTGAAGTCTCCCTCAGAACTCATCTAAATTGGCATGAGACCGCTGTTGTAGGCCTACCTTGAGGTGCTTCCGGGGCTTAGTGTCCCCGCGGCCCGGTCGTCGACCAGGCCTCCTGGATAAGTTTACATATCCTAATGATACTCACATTACAACTGATGCACTAATCTATAGTATAATTTGCAGCAGAAGTTTCAGTATCATTTTAACTCAGTGTTTAAGTCTAGATTTACTAGATTTAGGAAAGACTTGGGTAAATACTGGTTCGGTAACAGGGTTGTTGATTTGTGGAACCAATTACCGCGTAACGTGGTGGAGGTGGGGTCCCTCGATTGTTTCAAGTGCGGGTTGGACATGTATATGAGTGGGATTGGGTGGTTATAGATAGGAGCTGCCTCGTATGGGCCAATAGGCCTTCTGCAGTTACCTTTGTTCTTATGTTCTTATGACGAGGCTTGGGGTCCCAATGTAGTATTACAAGACAGAGATATTGCAAAGAAATATCCTGAACAGCATCTGAGAGTTGTTGTTTAAGATTTACTACTTGAAACAAAAAGTTTCAAGTAGCACGGGCTATGGTGAGCCCGTAGTTCACACATCTGAGAGAGATATCTTCACATGGCCCACTTGCCTAGTTCTCTGATGCTATAAAAGACCTGAAGATCACAACCGCACGTCTATGGACCATCCAATAGGCTTAACAAGACTTCAACACGTTACCACTACTACCTTACCTTGAGGTTACCTTGAGGTGCTTCCGGGGCTTAGCGTTCCCGCGGCCCGGTCGTCGACCAGGCCTACTGGTTGCTAGACTGATCAACCAGGCTGCTCGCAGCCTGACGTATGAGTCACAGCCTGGTTGATCAGGTATCCTTAAATATCCTAAAAATTAAAAATAATGCAAGGGTTAGGCTCGGCTACAAGTACCTCTGGGAGATTGTAACATCTGCTGATGTAGACCTAATTAAATGTCAGCAGAACTATTTACATAATTTGTGTCATTATGTAAATGAATGCAAAAACAAATCGTGGAATTCTGAGATTTGAGATTCTATTAATGATGACGTGAGGACCCGATCAATATATGTGGAAGTGTACTAAAAACTTATTTTCTTATCCAACCTACATCATGTCTCAAAGTGCTGCATACAATGGGCATGGGGTCCACTACCACCCACAGGATGGGTATGGGGGTCCACCACCACCCACAGGATGGGTATGGGGTCCACTACCACCCACAGGATGGGTATGGGGTCCACCACCACCCACAGGATGGGTATGGGGGTCCACTACCACCCACAGGATGGGTATGGGGTCCACTACCACCCACAGGATGGGTATGGGGTCCACTACCACCCACAGGATGGGTATAGGGTCCACCACCACCCACAGGATGGGTATAGGGTCCACCACCACCCACAGGATGGGTATAGGGTCCACCACCACCCACAGGATGGGTATAGGGTCCACCACCACCCACAGGATGGGTATAGGGTCCACCACCACCCACAGGATGGGTATAGGGTCCACCACCACCCACAGGATGGGTATGGGGTCCACCACCACCCACAGGATGGGTATAGGGTCCACCACCACCCACAGGATAAGTATGGGGGTCCACCACCGCCCACAGGATAAGTATGGGGGTCCACCACCACCCACAGGATGGGTATGGAGTTGCATACTAAATGACTTGAACTAATTACCTGGCTTGATATCCACACCCACACCTGAAATATCCCATACGTGTGAGTCCTGTTCAAGATTAGGTAGTATTCAGTGCGATTCGAACTCAAGAACGGAGCGAAGTACCTCCCGAAAAGAGCGATTATAACCGGTGATGGGTCGACTGTAATACTTTTATGCATTCATAAACATTGGGGTTTGGCGGCTGTATTAACGAGCTGTTCATGCTCGATAGGTTGTAAATTGTATTCACTACACAAAGCGCTACAAGAGTTGTTTATGACAACAACCTTGGATTGTGATGATGCGAAGGTCGCCATCATTGGGGAAAGATGCACATGTTTCTGAAGTGGTTGTGTAGTTGATTGATCCAACCTGGTATTCAATTAGTCAATATTTTTCATTTTTTGGAATACACGGATCTCTCACACACACACACACACACACACACACACACACACACACACACACACACACACACACACACACACACACACACACACACACACACACACACCGCAAGCACAATTAGGTGAGTACAATTAGGTGAGTACACACACACACACACACACACACACACACACACACACACACACACACACACACACACACACACACACACACACACACACACACACACACACAGACCACACTCTCTCACACACCCACACACACACACCACACACTCTCACACACACCCACCCACACACACCCACACACACACCCACCCACACACACACACACACACACACACACACACACACACACACACACACACACACACACACACACACACACACACATACTTTTCAGTTGTTCTCAAGCTGTGTGTGATAGGGCTGTGACTGGAAAGCAACAGGTGTTCTGAACACCTGTATCAACACGTATGCAAGTGCTGACGTGAGAAGGGTGTACCGGTTAGGGAGAGAAGCGCCTCTCACACCCAACTGGTCCTGGGTTCGATTCCTGGGCAGGACGAAACATGTTGAGCATTTGAGTTATAGTCGCCTGTTGTGGGGCGCATGGCCCCTGGGGCACTAAACTGTTCAGTCTCTGCTGACATCAGCCCTGGAATACCTGAGGGCCTATGCTTTCTTATGGGAAATATTTACCCAGGGCAGCAAACAAATTTAAGTGAAAATAAACATCTGTACAGAGATGCTGATGAAGATGCTGATGAAGATGCTGATGAAGATGCTGATGAAGATGCTGATGAAGATGCTGATGAAGATGCTGATGAAGATGCTGATGAAGATGCTGATGAAGATGCTGATGAAGATGCTGATGAAGATGCTGATGAAGATGCTGATGAAGATGCTGACACAGATGCTGACACAGCTACTGAAGCAGTCAATATACAAATCAAAACCATTCCTCCAGAAAACTAATAGACTAATAGACTAATATTTACTCAAGAAACTAATAGACTAATCGACTAATATTTACTCAAGAAATATTTACAAATTCAAATTGCGTTATTATACGGCCATGCTCAGGAGGGGAAAACACCCTGTAGCACAGTGAGCTTCGTCCTCGCCTCACAACCGAGGGACCCGGGTTCGATCCCTGGATAGGGTCAAAACGCTTAGGCACATTTCCTTTCGCCTGATGTCTCTTTACATCTGATATCTAGTACAGGATAGACCACATGCCACGATACAGGCGGTGACCAAACTGTTAAATCTTAGTTCTAAACATGCTCTCGGACGCAGGTTCGAATCCTCGTCACGGCCCTTGTGGATTTGTTCTTAGTTCTGAAGCTTCCCATTAATCCCAGCTTATGTTCTAAAGCTTCCCATTAATCCCAGCTTATGTTCTAAAGCTTCCCATTAATCCCAGCTTATGTTCTAAAGCTTCCCATTAATCCCAGCTTATGTTCTAAAGCTTCCCATTAATCCCAGCTTATGTTCTAAAGCTTCCCATTAATCCTAGCTTATGTTCTAAAGCTTCCCATTAATCCCAGCTTATGTTCTAAAGCTTCCCATTAATCCTAGCTTATGTTCTAAAGCTTCCCATTAATCCCAGCTTATGTTCTAAAGCTTCCCATTAATCCCAGCTTATGTTCTAAAGCTTCCCCATTAATCCCAGCTTATGTTCTAAAGCTTCCCCATTAATCCCAGCTTATGTTCTAAAGCTTCCCATTAATCCCAGCTTATGTTCTAAAGCTTCCCATTAATCCCAGCTTATGTTCTAAAGCTTCCCATTAATCCCAGCTTATGTTCTAAAGCTTCCCATTAATCCTAACTCAAGTTCTAATCCTTCCCTTGAGCACCAGGACACTGGCTACTGGCGACACGTCCTTGTCACGTATAACTTGTATACACAATACACCGAGAGTGTATATAAATACACAAATGTCCTCGGACCATCGGGGGATCGAGCTCGGACCTTGCAAGATGCCATATAGCGTCGAGAGAGAGAGAGAGAGAGAGAGAGAGAGAGAGAGAGAGAGAGAGAGAGAGAGAGAGAGAGAGAGAGAGAGAGAGAGAGAGAGAGAGAGAGAGAGAGAGAGAGAGAGAAATAAGTCATTACGCCACACGTCAGCACAGAAGGCCAGGTGTGTACACGTGTTGTGTCGACCGAGCCACAGGTGTGTGGTGGGGGCCGACGAGCGGGTGAACCGTTGTAGCAGTGCCTGTGTTTCCCTTCTCGCCGTCTCTCCTGCTCCGGTGACTCTCTGTAAGTCTTTCCCAGACACTGTTTTTCTCTTGTGTTGTTAGCTTCTAGCAGGTGTTGTTAGCTTCTAGCAGGTGTTGTTAGCTTCTAGCAGGTGTTGTTAGCTTCTAGCAGGTGTTGTTAGCTTCTAGCAGGTGTTGTTAGCCTCTAGCAGGTGTTGTTAGCTTCTAGCAGGTGTTGTTAGCTTCTAGCAGGTGTTGTTAGCTTCTAGAAGGTGATGTTAGCTTCTAGTAGGTGTTGTTAGCCTCTAGCAGGTGTTGTTAGCTTCTAGCAGGTGATGTTAGCTTCTAGCAGGTGTTGTTAGCCTCTAGCAGGTGTTGTTAGCTTCTAGCAGGTGGTGTTAGCTTCTAGCAGGTGTTGTTAGCCTCTAGCAGGTGTTGTTAGCTTCTAGCAGGTGTTGTTAGCCTCTAGCAGGTGTTGTTAGCTTCTAGCAGGTGGTGTTAGCTTCTAGCAGGTGTTGTTAGCCTCTAGCAGGTGTTGTTAGCTTCTAGCAGGTGTTGTTAGCCTCTAGCAGGTGTTGTTAGCTTCTAGCAGGTGTTGTTAGCCTCTAGCAGGTGTTGTTAGCCTCTAGCAGGTGTTGTTAGCCTCTAGCAGGTGTTGTTAGCTTCTAGCAGGTGTTGTTAGCTTCTAGCAGGTGTTGTTAACTTCTAGCAGGTGTTGTTAGCCTCTAGCAGGTGTTGTTAGCCTCTAGCAGGTGTTGTTAGCCTCTAGCAGGTGTTGTTAGCCTCTAGCAGGTGTTGTTAGCCTCTAGCAGGTGTTGTTAGCTTCTAGCAGGTGTTGTTAGCTTCTAGCAGGTGTTGTTAGCCTCTAGCAGGTGTTGTTAGCTTCTAGCAGGTGTTGTTAGCTTCTAGCAGGTGTTGTTAGCTTCTAGCAGGTGGTGTTAGCTTCTAGCAGGTGTTGTTAGCTTCTAGCAGGTGTTGTTAGCTTCTAGCAGGTGTTGTTAGCTTCTAGCAGGTGTTGTTAGCTTCTAGCAGGTGTTGTTAGCTTCTAGCAGGTGTTGTTAGCTTCTAGCAGGTGTTGTTAGCTTCTAGCAGGTGTTGTTAGCTTCTAGCAGGTGTTGTTAGCTTCTAGCAGGTGGTGTTAGCTTCTAGCAGGTGTTGTTAGCTTCTAGAAGGTGTTGTTAGCTTCTAGCAGGTGTTGTTAGCCTCTAGCAGGTGGTGTTAGCTTCTAGCAGGTGTTGTTAGCCTCTAGCAGGTGTTGTTAGCTTCTAGCAGGTGTTGTTAGCTTCTAGCAGGTGTTGTTAACTTCTAGCAGGTGTTGTTAGCCTCTAGCAGGTGTTGTTAGCTTCTAGCAGGTGTTGTTAGCCTCTAGCAGGTGTTGTTAGCTTCTAGCAGGTGTTGTTAACTTCTAGCAGGTGTTGTTAGCTTCTAGCAGGTGTTGTTAGCCTCTAGCAGGTGTTGTTAGCCTCTAGCAGGTGTTGTTAGCTTCTAGCAGGTGTTGTTAGCTTCTAGCAGGTGTTGTTAGCTTCTAGCAGGTGTTGTTAGCTTCTAGCAGGTGTCGTTAGCTTCTAGCAGGTTGATGTTAGCTTCTAGAACTTGTTGTTAGCTTCTAGAAGGTGTTGTTAGCCTCTAGCAGGTGTTGTTAGCCTCTAGCAGGTGTTGTTAGCCTCTAGCAGGGGTAGACTGCCTTCAGCAGGGGTTCCCAGCCTCCTGCAGGGGTTCCAATCCTTCTCACCAGGGGTTCCAATCCTTCTCACCAGGGGTTCCAGTCCTTCTCACCAGGGGTTCCAATCCTTCTCACCAGGGGTTCCAGTCCTTCTCACCAGGGGTTCCAATCCTTCTCACCAGGGGTTCCAATCCTTCTCACCAGGGGTTCCAATCCTTCTCACCAGGGGTTCCAGTCCTTCTCACCAGGGGTTCCAATCCTTCTCACCAGGGGTTCCAGTCCTTCTCACCAGGGGTTCCAATCCTTCTCACCAGGGGTTCCAATCCTTCTCACCAGGGGTTCCAATCCTTCTCACCAGGGGTTCCAGTCCTTCTCACCAGGGGTTCCAATCCTTCTCACCAGGGGTTCCAATCCTTCTCACCAGGGGTTCGAATCCTTCTCACCAGGGGTTCCAGCCCTTCTCACCTACTCTTGCCGTGTCAACAGAGACGTAATGACACTATCGTCGACGGTGCTGACAGCGGGACTGCTGGCGGTGACAGCAGTGGTGCTGCTCTTCAGTAATCGAAGCCTTAACACCACCTTGAAGCAAGACAAGGAGCGGTCCTTGGTCGGCTTCAAGAAAAGGCAAGTCTACTCTCATAAGTTTACCTAAATTTTAAACTTCTCTGGTACATTACAGACAGAAATCACAATAGAGTGATGCGTCAAATGAGCAAATCCAGAAAATTGATGGATTTTATTGTAGCTCAGTCGATTAAGGCAGCGTTTGGGATGCTCTCGGACGCAGGTTCGAATCCTCGTCACGGCCCTTGTGGATTTTGATGCATCAGGGCTGGTTTACACCTGTGCCTTGAGGTTTATAAGGACATGTGAACCTTTATTTTTGTTCTCTAAAGTAGTCTCTATTGTGCTATTTAGACTTTAATTTTATTGTAAATACAATTAAATCTTTAATTTACTATTTTAGCTGTAACACTACAACCCATTCTCGCACTTGCTTATGGTCAATATTGGCTTATTTAATAAGTGCATTTGTGACATACTAATTGATTGTGAATATTTTAGTTTACCTTGAAAAGCTTCATAGAAAACACCGACCTCACCTAACCTTCTTAGTATGTTAAGATAAGCATCTTATTGCTTCTTATTTACAATTATTACTTAACCTATACCGTTGATAGGTTAAGTAATAATTGTAAAAAAGAAGCAAAAGTCCCTTCGCGACTCTAAGTACCCGTAGTTCACTCTACCATGTTGTGGTACAGTTGACTAAGGCGTTTCTGGGAACATTCCGGGCGTAGGTTCGAACTCTCATCACGGCCCTTTTGTGGATTTGTTCATTTGTTCACCGTATTGTGATTTCTGTGTGTACTAAGACCTTTCATCTCATTGCAGAGATGAGGAAATACTTGATTGCAAAGACTTGCTTCAACGGGAGAATAATCTTCGAACTGGCTACGAACAGAAGATCAAAAAGGTGAGTATTGCTTGAGTTTGTATTCATATTTCCGGGCTCACCATAGCCCGTGCTACTTGGAACATTTTGTTCCAAGTAGCGTTAATCAACAGCATTTATACACGAGAAAAGGTTCAATAAAGGTGACTTCTGAATGAGAGGAGTTCATTTATGAGTCTGTCCTCTCTTGTTCATTGTTTATAGAGGCGTCTCTTCTCATTTTCTCTCCTTTCACCTCATTCTCTCCTCTACAGACGGAGGAGGAGAAGGTGGGGTTGACAGCTGAGGTGAACCGCAAGAAAGATGAAGTGGCTAAGCTACAGAAGTCTACAGCAGAGGCGGAGGTAGGGTACACCTGTAGCTCTTGCTTGTGTGTGTGTGTGTGTGTGTGTGTGTGTGTGTGTGTGTGTGTGTGTGTGTGTGTGTGTGTGTGTGTGTGTGTGTGTCCCTGTGTGTCTGTGTGTGTGTCTGTGTGTCTGTGTGTGTGTCTGTGTGTCTGTGTATTCCTGTGTGTGTGTGTGTCTGTGTGTGTATGTGTGTGTGTGTGTGTGTGTGTGTGTGTCCCCTGTGTGTTCCTTGTCTGTGTGTGTGTTGTGTGTATGTGTTCCTTGTGTGTGTGTGTTGTGTGTACTGTGTTTTCCTTCCCCTATGATATTCCTTGTCTATGTATTCTTTCCCTACAAGTTTCCTGCTTGTATGATTTTTCTATGTTCCATGATTGTGTTCTCTATGCCTTCATGATTGTGTTCTCTATGCCTTCATGATTGTGTTCTCTATGCCTTTATGATTGTATCCAGCCTAGTAATTGTCGACCAGTTATTTGTCCCTGTGATTGCAATCACCTCACCCCAAACTGATTTATCTCATTAATATATCATGCCACTGTGATTTCTTTGTGGTCTGAAAGAGGGATGTAAAGGTTTGAACACTGCCAATGGTAAAAATCCTGGTTGGGCACTGTTTCAGCCCTCCAGAATACCCCCAATTTCAGTAGAATTCCGCGTTAATTGGCTTTTATCCTATCGTGACTGAGTGGTTAAGACAGGTGTCTTTAGGAAACATCAGAGCCTCGTTACTCCAAAATGATTTTCTAATGTATATTAATATGTATATTAATGTATATTAATAACACCTCAAAATTACACAGGCGAAGAAGAAAGAAGTCGAAGCCTTGACCAAGAGCAAGGAGGACTTCAAGAAACAGCTGAACGAGACCTTGAAGCGCGTCACGGATGCTGACAAGGTCAAGGCCGACCTGCAGGCCAAGTTGACGGAGGCGCTGGCCAAGAAGAGTCAAGCAGATGCAGCAGCAGCGGCAGCCAAGGACCAAGCTGCTAAAGCCAAGGCCGCCAAAGGTTAATACCTTAAAGGCGTATTTAATGCCAATATCATCTTGTCCCTTTCCTATAACATTAACCGCCCAAATGAGCTTTTGAAAGCGGATTCAAGACCAACAATCAATCGTTAGAACACTCTCCACAGCCTCGTACGTCGTGAGTTGTAGCTCCTGGTCCCCGCCTGTCTGTGTGCACAACCACATCCACTCGAAAATCATCTGTCTGCTTTCGTATCATCCCCCCTCCCCCCCCCCTTGTATGGGGTTCCAAAGATTAAGGGGGAGATAATATCACTGTTAATGGCCATTTCAGTTGTTAAACTAGCACAGTTAAAGAGTGTGCACTTAACACCTTTAAAAGCACCTTTGTGTGGTGTGATACATGATGATTGTCTTATACATACATGTATACTTCTCATATAGTGATATGTGTATACTTTTCATACACTGATTCGTGTATAGTCGTCTGATACAATGTATTTTATATTCCTCTGTTTGTATACTTCTCATACAGTGATGTAGGTATACTTTTCATACACTGATTCGTGTATAGTCGTCTCATACAATGTATTTTATATTCCTCTGGTTTGTATTTTAACAATGTATTATTTTTAAGAACAAGTATAAGGAGGTGTATTAGTATGATAATACACAGATAACTTAGTAGATTATTCTATCACAGCTTCAGTGTGTGTTTACACTAAGCTCAGTGTTTACACTAAGCTCAGTGTTTACACTAAGCTCAGTGTTTACACTAAGCTCAGTGTTTACACTAAGCTCAGTGTTTACACTAAGCTCAGTGTTTACACTAAGCTCAGTGTGTCTACACTAAGCTCAGTGTTTACACTAAGCTCAGTGTTTACACTAAGCTCAGTGTGTCTACACTAAGCTCAGTGTCTACACTAAGCTCAGTGTTTACACTAAGCTCAGTGTTTACACTAAGCTCAGTGTTTACACTAAGCTCAGTGTTTACACTAAGCTCAGTGTTTACACTAAGCTCAGTGTTTACACTAAGCTCAGTGTTTACACTAAGCTCAGTGTTTACACTAAGCTCAGTGTTTACACTAAGCTCAGTATTTGCTTACACTAAACTCAGTGTGTCTACACTAAACTCAATCTCTGATCACAGTAAACAATCTCTGTCTACATCACAAAAGCCACAAAACAGCCTAAATACCCTCTCTATAAGTCTAACACCATCTTACTTGAAAAGTAAAGTAGTTCTATTAATTTTAAGTTAGTAAATGTTAATTAAGAGTAATTACACCGTGTCGGATCGAGGCGGGCAGCGTTCGCCTACAAGAACTTCAAGTCGGATTTGAGACCGTTCTTGGAGCCATAGAAAACGACTGTCATGACGGTCTTTGCCTAGAAGCGGTGACTGTCTTAAAAAATCGCTGTTAACCCGTTCTTGTTTCTTGTAATATGTAAATTGTGTCTGTGTTTTGAGAAATAAAGAATTTTTTGACATAGTATAACTCTCTATAGTTTCATAAGGAAATATCCACTGGTATGAGGTTTGTAAACATGATGATATTATTTTAGTTTTCTGAGTTAAACAACTGTTGTGGTTGGCCTTGAGAGAACTGGATAAGTCTTACCTGAATTGACTTGAGGAGGGCCACTACCTCGACGACGGACAGAAAGCTGCCGGAGAGAAAGAGAAAGAGACGATAAGAGGAGAATTAAACGAAAATTAAACGAGAATTAAACGAAAATTAAACGGGAATTAAACGAAAATTAAACGAGAATTAAACGAGAATTAAACGGAAATTAAACGAGAATTAAACGAGAATTAAACGGAAATTAAACGGGAATTAAACGAGAATTAAACGGAAATTAAACGAAAATTAAACGGAAATTAAACGGGAATTAAACGAGAATTAAACGGGAATTAAACGGGAATTAAACGAGAATTAAACGAAAATTAAACGGGAATTAAACGAAAATTAAACGGGAATTAAACGAGAATTAAACGAGAATTAAACGAGAAACAGAATTAACACAAAATGCCATAACCCCCGGCCCCAAACGCCCAGTATATGAAGCTACTCCGTCATCTAAGCATAGAAACTATCTGTGAACTATGAGGTGGACTAAATTAGAAAAAGATGCCAAGCGGGAGATAAAGAAATATATAAGATACTAAACTACAGCTTCCAGGAGCTGCTATAGCAGTAGAGAACAGCACTGGTATGAGTAGAAGACTTAACAGCTTCCAGGGTTCAGCAGATGAGGTGAGGGAGTAGCTTCAGATGTACTGATCGACTTGAGAATGGTCCAGGACGGACCGAAACGTCGTCGTACCTTCACTTTCTAGTGTGTGGTCTGGTCAACATACGTCAGCCACGTTATTGTGACTAATCGCCTGCATGTACTGAGGACTTGTTGAACATAAGAACATAAGAACAAAGGTAACTGCAGAAGGCCTATTGGCCCATACGAGGCAGCTCCTATCTATAACCACCCAATCCCACTCATATACTTGTCCAACCCGCGCTTGAAACAATCCAGGGACCCCACCTCCACCTCGTTACGCGGAAATTGGTTCCACAAATCAACAACCCTGTTACTGAACCAGTATTTACCCAAGTCTTTCCTAAATCTAAACTTATCAAATTTATACCCATTGTTTCGTGTTCTGTCTTGTGTTGATACTTTTAATACCCTACAAAGATCCAGACAAAGTCCCCCTGTTGATGCTCACGCTCTAACCTAACTTTTTCACCAATTTACACTGACTAGAGAAGAGAGAGAGAGAACTACCAGACAGCTAGACAACTACTAATGTCATGCCAATACATAAGAGATAGACAAGAGGAACTAACATATCTTGAGGTTATCTTGAGATGATTTCGGGGCTTTTTTAGTGTCCCCGCGGCCCGGTCCTCGACCAGGCCTCCACCCCCAGGAAGCAGCCCGTGACAGCTGACTATCTCCCAGGTACCTATTTTACTGCTAGGTAATAGGGGCATAGGGTGAAAGAAACTCTGCCCATTGTTTCTCGCCGGCGCCTGAGATCGAACCCAGGACCACCACAAGTCCAGCGTGCTGTCCGCTCAGCCGACCGGCTCCCTAAGCACATACACCCAATAAGTTCCTAGATTAATTAATCAAAAAGGGTGCTATAAACTGACCACCGTTTTATGCAAATAATTATAAATTATTTGCACTAGAATCCTACTTTTCAGATATATTCAAATAACATGACTGGCAACAGAGGTTCCTGCATGGCAATACTTGCCAGATGTTACTAAACTAATGAGACGGATCACAACATTTTAGGCACCACTAATGGTGCCGCGTAACACGGTGGAGGTGGGGTCCCTCGATTGTTTCAAGCGCGGGTTGGACATGTATATGAGTGGGATTGGGTGGTTATAGATAGGAGCTGCCTCGTATGGGCCAATAGGCCTTCTGCAGTTACCTTTGTTCTTATGTTCTAATGACAACACAAGAGGCACTATTAGTGACAACATAAGACCGAACACGGAGCTCCAAATGACGGAAGAAAAAGAAAACGTCCCTGAATATCTATCAGAGAAAACGGCCTCGGGGGCTCATACCCTCGAAACCCAGACTAAGCTAATATATATGAAGCTTAATGCAAGCTTCGCGGGCTTCACGGGTTCTTCATTCAACACAACACGAAGCCTAAGGTACGCCACCAGACCACTAACACAGCTTGAGAGGTAAAAATTACGAAAACAAAGCTATACGAATTAAACCACAATCGACAAAAATTGAATCAAAGGAGACATGATCACGACATATTCAAGGCTATAGATAGGACAGCCGAAAACATTATTTCGTGTGAGTGGTATGTGAAAGGTCGCAGGTGGAGGCTAATTAGTAAAATGATCTACATATTAGAATAATTTCAGTGTTAGTGTACAAATAGAATACATTCTATTTAAATCATTTTTATAGTAGAAGTTAGCGCTGTCATGAAGCATGCCTCACAGGTGACATGAGCCCGGGTTCGAGGCCTGGGTATGGATGAACTATTGTGCACCGACCCTTACCTCTGGTACCAGTTCATCAAGCCATAATTGGGTAATTAAGTCTACCCTGCGACCTGCCTCTAATGCTTTTCGTGGCTTCTTAATTAACTATGATAACGTCGTGAGATTTGAGAGTGAGAGGGTAAAGATGAGAGTAGATACTGAACGCGATAAAACTCGATAAAAGTTGTTCTGTAAGTACGAGCAGCAGTCAAAAAATGCTAACCAAATACTTGGAAGAATCAAGCGGTTTCTCCCAAGCAAACATTTAGAAGAATCAAGCGGTTTCTCCCAAGCAAATACTTGGAAGAATCAAGCGGTTTCTTCCAAGTAAATACTTGGAAGAATCAAGCGGTTTCTCCCAAGAAAACACTTGGAAGAATCAAGCGGTTTCTCCCAAGAAAACACTTGGAAGAATCAAGCGGTTTCTCCCAAGAAAACACTTAGAAGAATCAAGCGGTTTCTCCCAAGAAAACACTTAGAAGAATCAAGCGGTTTCTCCCAAGAAAACACTTAGAAGAATCAAGCGGTTTCTCCCAAGAAAACACTTGGAAGAATCAAGCGGTTTCTCCCAAGAAAACACTTGGAAGAATCAAGCGGTTTCTCCCAAGAAAACACTTGGAAGAATCAAGCGGTTTCTCCCAAGAAAACACTTGGAAGAATCAAGCGGTTTCTCCCAAGAAAACACTTGGAAGAATCAAGCGGTTTCTCCCAAGAAAACACTTGGAAGAATCAAGCGGTTTCTCCCAAGAAAACACTTAGAAGAATCAAGCGGTTTCTCCCAAGAAAACACTTGGAAGAATCAAGCGGTTTCTCCCAAGAAAACACTTGGAAGAATCAAGCGGTTTCTCCCAAGAAAACACTTGGAAGAATCAAGCGGTTTCTCCCAAGAAAACACTTGGAAGAATCAAGCGGTTTCTCCCAAGAAAACACTTGGAAGAATCAAGCGGTTTCTCCCAAGAAAACACTTGGAAGAAAACAAAGAATTTGACTTTAAGGAAAAGAAGGTAGTCAATCGTATATACATCTCTGGTGCCCCCACATTTGGATTACTGTATCCGGTTTCAAGCTACTACGGGCTCACCATAGACCGTGCTACTTGGAACTTTTTGTTCCAAGTAGCGATCTTAAATAAGGTTTCAAGCTCAACAAGCCACACTGTAGGACTGAGAACAGGGGATTCTTTTTCACCCATAGGGTTATAAACCCATGGAACCGCCTACCCGCCGAAGCCGTAAATGCCAAAACTCGGCTAAATTTTAAAGTACAACTGGAAAATGTACTTTAATGGAGGGGCCTTTGACAAGCCGCGGGCTTCATGTCCTCGTCAAGGCCACTAGTGTTAGTGGCTCTCAGATAAATTCAGAATGAAGGAGTTTACCCTGAAGGGCAGAAGAGAATGGGCACTGAAGCAGGCTATCAAGACACTAAGTAGATTTCAGTGGTGTCTACCTTTTAATCTACCTCTCAACATACTCTCATCTACAACTCACTTCAAGAGGGGGGGGGGGTAAGAATATTTTCCTTACCATGTATCTGTGATCCTGACTTGTGATCCTGTGGTCTCGTGACTATGGGACTTGTGATCCTGTGGTCTTGTGACTATGGGACTTGTGATCCTGTGGTCTCGTGACTATGGGACTTGTGATCCTGTGGTCTTGTGACTATGGGACTTGTGATCCTGTGGTCTTGTGACTATGGGACTTGTGATCCTGTGGTCTTGTGACTATGGGACTTGTGATCCTGTGGTCTTGTGACTATGGGACTTGTGATCCTGTGGTCTTGTGACTATGGGACTTGTGATCCTGTGGTCTTGTGACTATGGGACTTGTGATCCTGTGGTCTTGTGACTATGGGACTTGTGATCCTGTGGTCTTGTGACTATGGGACTTGTGATCCTGTGGTCTTGTGACTATGGGACTTGTGATCCTGTGGTCTTGTGACTATGGGACTTGTGATCCTGTGGTCTTGTGACTATGGGACTTGTGATCCTGTGGTCTTGTGACTATGGGACTTGTGATCCTGTGGTCTTGTGACTATGGGACTTGTGATCCTGTGGTCTTGTGACTATGGGACTTGTGATCCTGTGGTCTTGTGACTATGGGACTTGTGATCCTGTGGTCTTGTGACTATGGGACTTGTGATCCTGTGGTCTTGTGACTATGGGACTTGTGATCCTGTGGTCTTGTGACTATGGGACTTGTGATCCTGTGGTCTTGTGACTATGGGACTTGTGATCCTGTGGTCTTGTGACTATGGGACTTGTGATCCTGTGGTCTTGTGACTATGGGACTTGTGATCCTGTGGTCTTGTGACTATGGGTCTTGTGATCCTGTGGTCCTGGGTTCGATCCCAGGCGTTCGATCCCAGGCGAGAAACAATGGACAGAGTTTCTTCATCCTATGCCCCTGTTACCTAGCAGTAAAATAGGTACCTGGGTGTTAGTCAGCTGTCACGGGCTGCTTCCTGGGGGTGGAGGCCTGGTCGAGGACCGGGCCGCGGGGACACTAAAGCCCCGAAATCATATCAAGATAACATCAAGATAACCCCCATACCCATCTTGTAGGCGGTAGTGGAAAGGGCCCATTACATAATGGGCTCAGGGACTGAATCACCCAATTTACACAACACGAATTTATTTAGACTAGCCGTAGTCTTCTGTCGTTCCTCCGTCTTGCAGTGAAGATGTACTTCACTGGAGGCCATGAAACAGGTGTTCAATACACTTGTTCGTATTGAACACATGCACAGGTCCCTTGCTCATGGTGGGGGGGGCGGGGTTGCGTATTGGAAAATTGATCTATAAATAATTAATTTTGTCCGGGGGGCCAGGAAGACTGTGTATATGTGCACTTTAGCGGTCTTTCCCGAAGGTCAAACAATACTATTCGGATTAAGGCTGGGATGCTCCCGGACGCAGGTTCGAATCCTCGTCACGGCCCTTGTGGATTTGTTTACACTCTCAAGATGCAGCTGTATAGCAGTTGACTAACTTTCAGGTACCTATTTACTACTAGGTGATAGGGAGAGAAGGAAAAAAAGTGGAGATGCTACATCATCACTTCTCCCCCCACCGACCCCCCCATCTCGTGTTGTACACCTGTACACCTCGGCAATACACACCCAACACATACACCTGTATTCTCTGCCCACCTGCTCCAGCAGTTGTCTGTCTCCCTCGCTCTCTTCCTCCGTCTATCAGTGAGTTGGTTCATATACCGTTTGGTACAGCTCTGTGTTCTGGTTTGGAGAGCATGTGTAGTGTATGTGTGTAGTGTGTAGTGTGTGTATGTGTGTGTGTAGTGTATATGTAGGAGAGTGTATTGGGCTTGGGTGTTGTTAATTTCTGAGGCCACGACGGCATGGTACAACACCAAATCTTGTATCTCTGGCCGGAAAGATAGTGTGAAAAACTATATATTCTATATATCGTGAAAGTGTATCTATATAGTGTTTTACGGTAAACAGACGACCCTTGGTTCAAGATCCCCACAGAGAGGGTTGAGCTTGGGCTCTTTGGCCCCGCCTCTCAACTGGTGAACAGAGTCCTGAAGACACACTAAAAAATGGTGTTTTCAGAGTGTGAGTGTGAGGAAGGCTGTGGCGGAAGTATGTACGTAGTGACAATGGGAATAAGTATGAGTATACTCCTCATACTCCAGAGTATGAGGACGATGCCTTAAGTATGAGAAGCCCAAGTGTGTGAAACTACAAGGGACTATAGTGAGAGTATGAGGGTAGTGTGTTATAAGTGTGAGAGTAGAATATGAGGTGTGAGAATAAGGGTAGAATATGAGCTGTGGGAGTATGTGGTTAGCATGTGTAATAAAGGTAGAATGGTAGTATAAGCGAGTAGATTATATTGAGTGAATGGTATAAGTAGAATGTGCAATGGTAGAATATATATATGGAGCAAGTATGGTGGAAGTATGAGGGAAGAAGGAGTTTGTAGTGGGAGGGGGGGCATGGGGGGGGGGGGGGGGGAGGAGTGAGTGTGTCTGATGGTTGAAAGTCCATATGCCCATTTAAACTCATATACATAATATACATATCTATATTCTTACTTTACACATGACCATTAAGCATTTATGTGCTATTAACACACACCACACACACCACACACACACACACACCACACACACACACACACACACACACACACACACACACACACACACACACACTCGGGGCCTCGTAGCCTGGTGGATAGCGCGCAGGACTCGTAATTCTGTGGCGCGGGTTCGATTCCCGCACGAGGCAGAAACAAATGGGCAAAGTTTCCTTCACCCTGAATGCCCCTGTTACCTAGCAGTAAATAGGTACCTGGGAGTTAGTCAGCTGTCACGGGCTGCTTCCTGGTGTGTGTGTGTGTGTGTGTGTGTGTGTGTGTGTGTGTGTGTGGTGTGTGTGTGTGTGTGTGTGTGTGTGTGTGTGTGTGTGTGTGGTGTGGGAAAAAAAAAATAGTAGTTAGTAAACAGTTGATTGACAGTTGAGAGGCGGGCCGAAAGAGCCAAAGCTCAACCCCCGCAAACACAATTAGGTGAGTACACACACACACAACACAACACACACATACATACACACCACACTACACACACACACACACACACACACACACACACACACACACCACCACACACACACCACACACACACACACACACACACCACACACACACACACACACCTCACCCCTTCTCACTCACTCTCCCCCATCTCTCTCTCCACCACCAGAAACATCATGGCGGTCAGCAAGACAGCTCTTTGGGCGGGAATATTGACCCTGGCGGTAATCATTTGCATCTTGGTAGACAATATTCTCCTTAAAAGAAGCATTTACCACCAACAGGAAGACCAACGCATGCGCATTAACAAGAGGTCAGTCTCCCATTCAACTAGTCAGCACATAGGTTCGATCCCACATTAGGGCTCCTGTGGGATTTGTTCATTTGATATATCATGTTATTGGGGGTGTTACGGGCTCGCCATAGCCCGTGCTACATGGACACTTCGTTCTGAGTTGCTAAATCTGAAACAATGCAACCCGTTCTCGCACTTTCTTACAGTCAATATTGACTTATTAAATAAGTGCATATGTGACATACTAATTTATTGTGAATATTTTAGTTTACCTTGAAAAGCTTCATAGAAAACACCGACCTCACCTAACCTTCTTAGTATGTTAACATAAGCATCTTATTGCTTTGTAATTACAATTATTACTTAACCTATACCTATAATAGGTTAAGTAATAATTGTAATTACGAAGCAATAAGATGCTTATCTTAACATACTAAGAAGGTTAGGTAAGATCGGTGTTTTCTATGAAGCTTTTCAAGGTAAACTAAAATATTCACAATAAATTAGTATGTCACATATGCACTTATTTAATAAGTCAATATTGACTGTAAGAACATGAGAGAACGGCTTGAACAATGTTATTGGGATTTCTGTGTGTTATTGCTGTTGCTAATGCTCTTAAACTTGTCAACATTTCAGAGCTGTTAACATGAGTGCGTGTCGGGAGATGATTCAGAAGGAGAGGCAGGTTAAAGGAGTCTTGAAAAACCGGATATTGAATGTGAGTTAGTGGCTAATGTTACATGTACTTCTTTCACTACTTCTTTCATTACTTCCCTCGGCATTTTTTTCATTACTTTTTGTCATCATCTCCTCAATACTTTAATCACTTCTTTCATCATTTGTTTCAACATTTCTTTCACTTGTTTCAACACTTAGTTTAATGCTTTCTTCACTGCTTCTTTCATGTCCTTCCTTAACATTTCCTTCACCACTCCCCTCACCACTTCAATACTTCTATCATCACCTCCATCAACACTTTCTTCACCACTTCCTTCACTACTTCTTTCATCACCTCCTCAAACACTTCCATCACCGCTTCCTTCAAACCGATTCCACCACCACCATCACCACAATTTCTTTCACCCTTTCCATCACCAGCTTCCTTCACTGCTTTCATCACCACTTTCTCAACGCCCCCCTCTCTCTCTCCTCAGACGGAACGAAACAAAGGGGGGTTATACCTTGAGCTTGAACGCCAGAAGAGCGCCTTAAGTCGAGTCCAAAACTCAGGAGCCATTAAAGAAGTAAGAACTGTTCCTTGCTGTTGTTTCTCGTGTTCCTTGTTGCGTGTCTGTGTTTGTCTGGTGGGTTAATTGGGTGTAAGTTCCTTGTTAATTAATTAATTAATTAATTATCATTGTTAGTAGTTATCCTTGGATAACTACTAAAATTTCGAACGTTTGGAGGGAAGGGAATTATCAGGGAGAAAGCAGCAAGCCATTACGACTATATAGCACTGGGAAGGGGTCAGGATAAGGATTTGGGATGGGACGAGGTAGAGAAAGGAATAGTGCCCAACCACTTGGACAAAACTATGAAGCTCCTACGGATTTTATCATCGATTAACATCACATTAGTGTGATTGTTCTTTGAATAATTGTATTATTATTAATAAGAACAGAAGAACATAAGAACAAAGGTAACTGCAGAAGGCCTATTGGCCTATACGAGGCAGCTCCTATTTATAACCACTCAATCCCACTCATAAACATGTCCAACCCGCGCTTGAAACAATCGAGGGACCCCACCTCCACCACGTTACACGTTCCACAAATCAACAACCCTGTTACCGAACCAGTATTTACCCAAGCCTTTCCTAAATCTAAACTTATCCAATTTATACCCATTGTTTTGTGTTCTGTCTTGTGTTGATACTTTTAATACCCTATTAATATCCCCTATGTTATACCTCTATCATGTCACCCCTAACTCTTGAATACGTGAATATTCTTCAGGAAAAGATGAAAGAAGTCGAAGCCTTGACCAAGACCAAAGGGGACCTCAAGAAACAGCTCGACGAGGCATTGAAACGCGCTACGGAGGCTGACAAGGCCAAGGCCGACCTGCAGGCCAAGTTGACCGAGGCGCTAGCCAAGCAGAAGGAAGCAGAGACAGCAGCAGCGGCAGCCAAGAACGAAGCAGCTAAATCCAAGGAAAACAAGAATTGATATGTTCACTTTAATCCATATTTCATTTCGAATTGTATAGTAATTTAGTTCTTATTGGGTGGCTATAAATAGGAGCTGCCTCGTATGGGCCAACAGGCCTTCTACAGTTGCCTTTGTTCTTATGTAATATTGTATAATTGTAAAATTATCTTCAAGATATTTCATCGAATTTTGATAGGTCGTTAATCTAACATAAACCTTCAATGGTAATAACCAGAAATAACATTAACAAAATTAACAGCATCTTCAAAAAAGTCACATCGTCAGTTATATATAAAATATAATATAATAAGTTATTACGAAACGCGTTCAGGCGTCAAGGCTAGAAATAAAAATGAATTTTGGAGAATTGATTTTTCAATTACCATCGACAGTGAAAAGAAACATAAGAAATAGTGAGAAAAATCGTGTTAGAATTATTAATCTTACTTTTTCGGTCATATTCAACAATTTTTCCAATAGTGTAAATTCTGAAAAAAATATTTTCATGGAACTCATTGATCAAGTAAGTCCATTCTATTAAATTTAATAAAGAGATTGATAAAATGTAATTATTTCATATTTCTTAATATTTTAATTCACATAAAAAATTAATTTTTTTATTATTATTTGACTGATAGATTGATATGTAGAATAATCATATGTGACCTTTCAACTGGTATCTTAAATATGTGTACATATATTGTCTCTTATTATAGTGCCTAAGCTGTTTTAAGATACGAAAGCGCTTAAGTTCTGTTTCATTTGCCTTCCTGATTCAGTGTTGCTTAGACCAAAACATAACACACACACACACACGCACACACACACACACATATATACACATACACACATATATAGCTATATATATAAAATATAGCACATAGCACAAAAACAGACTAACATACCCCCAAACCATAAAAATAATCATATTGGCGTTAGCCTTTCCACTGGAGACTTACGGCGCCGTGGAGAGGGGAATGACCTGCTGCATGGGTAACAGCTTCTCCCCCCCATATCAACCTACCGTGACTTTGCGCCCTGGAGAGACCACTCCAGACCGACAACCAGAGAGCAGCTCCATATAGTACCCTAGCTGGCTAGCACCCTAGCTAGCTATACAGTACCCTAGCTGCCTAGTATCCTAGCTGGCTATATAGTATCCTAGCTGGCTATATAGTATCCTAGCTGGCTATATAGTACCCTAGCTATAGTCAGTCGGTCAGGTGAAGTCACAGTGAGAGGTTGTGTTAACCGGAGCTCCTGAGTGTTGTTATATTATCATAGCAAATATGGAAGTTGTAGTGAAGGACCTGGTGACTCTAGTGGGAGCCCTGAGGACAGAGTTGGACTCTCTGCGGGAGGAGGTGCGTCAGCTTAAAAAACAACGAGAAGTAACGAAGGAGGAGACCAGCAGTAAAGGGACCTCGTCTTGGAGAGTTGCGAAAGACAGGGGCCTTAAGAAGACTTTGATAAAGCCGCCTTCAAACGCCATAGCAACTTCAAATTCATTTGACGTTTTGGAGGACGAGTGCTGTGGAGAGACTGTGGATCGCGCAAAAGGGAAAGCAACGAAGAGAAAGGAAGCGCAGGCCCCTCAGAAAGTAAAGGAGTACCTAAGCAAACATTAGTTGTGGGAGATTCCCAGATAAGGTATTTGGATAGAACGTTTTGTGCTAGAGATAGGGGGAACAGGTTAAGGGTTTGCTATCCCGGAGCTGGCATTGGTGATATTATAAACAACATGAATGATATTATGGCTGGTAATGGGAACAATCCTATTATTTGCATTAGCGTGGGAGGAAATGATGTTGGTCGAGTCAGGAGTGAGGAACTGATTCAGAGGTATAAAACAGCCATAGAGTTAGTTAGGAGCAAGGGAGGAATCCCGATCATATGTGGCATTCTTCCAAGAAAGGGAGTGGGAAATGAATGGATATCGAGGGCACTTGGTGTCAATTGCCGGCTGGAAAGATATGCAAATCAAATGCAATATCTTTCATAGACAACTGGGAACACTTCTATGGAAGAAATGAAATGTATGCTCGTGATGGGGTGCATCTATCGAGAGCTGGGGTTGTTGCTGTTGCGAACTCGCAAGAAGAAAGTGGTTAGAGGTGTTTGTTTGGGTTTAAACTGTTAGTAGATAGAGGTATGGGAATTGATTTGGAGGAAGGAGGTAATAAAAGTATGTGTTTGTGGGAGAAAGGAATTGGCAAAACGATCAGGGAAAGAGAAGGTCCGCAAAATAACAATTCACTTAGGTTATATTACACTAACAGTAGAAGTCTAAGAAATAAAATTACGAATTAAATGCTCTTGTCTGCACAGAAAAAATAGATATTATTGCACTTACCGAAACGTGGATGAATGTAGAAAATAGAGAACTATAGCTGAATATCAAATATATGGATTTAAACTATTTCACACAGATAGATATATTAGACGAGGAGGTGGAGTAGCCATATAGTTAGGGACAATTTGAAATGTAGTCTCAAAGAGGGAATCAAAACAGAGCCACACACAGAAACTATTTGGATTGAATTAAACGAAAAAGCTAATAATATTATAATAGGAGTAATATATAGGCCACCAAATTTAGACAGAATGGAAGCAAAGCATCTATGGGATGAAATATCTAGAGCATCTAGATCTAACAGTATTTATGTCATGGGTGACTTAATTTTAGCGGAATAAACTGGTTGAACAAAACAGGGAATAGTGAAGCAGAAGATTTTCTAGAATTAATTGACGATTGCTTTCTTACGCAACACATTAAGGAACCAACACGGGAAAATAATATTTTAGATTTAGTGTTAACTAACAGGGAAACGTAAATTAATGACATCGAAATAGGGCTGTGAGCTAGGGAGCAGTGATCACAAAGAAATCAGATTTAGCATAGAATGGAATAGACCAGTAGGAGAAAA